TATCCCTTCATCTATGTCATTGATGTAAATCAAAAAGAGCAAAGGTCCTAAGACTGAGCCTTGGGGTACCCCACTTATGACATTAATTTAGTTTGACTGAGTTCCATTTGTAACAACCCTCTGCTTTCTTCCATCCAGCCATTCTTCTATCTAATTTGCTAACTTATCTCCCATACCTACAGAGATGATTTTTTTTTTACAAGCCTTTTATTTGGCACCATGTCAAATGCTTTCTGAAAATCCAGATACACAAAATCTACACCCTTACTCTCATTTACATAAGCAGTAACCTTTTCAAAGAATGTTAAAAGATTTGTAAGGCAAGATTTTCTCTTAGTGAAACCATGTTGACTATCCAATAAAATTCTAAACTTTGTTAAATGACTTTGCAAAGTATCTTTTAACAGACTTTCAAAAACTTTTCCCACAACTGATGTAAGAATAATGGGTCTGTAATTACTTGGACAATTTTTATCACCTCCCTTGAAAAGAGGAGTTACATTAGCTAACTTCCAACTCTCTGCTACCTGCCCACTATTCAAGAACTGACAAAGATTTGTAGCAAGTGGTTCACATATCCAATCCTTAACCTCCTTCAAAACCCTTGGAGGCCCAGGAGCCTTATCGTTTTTTAAATTTCCCAATTTTTTCTAAACTAGCTCAGTAGGCTATAGCAAAATATTCCGAAAACTGACATCTTTATTGATTGGATATTATTATTAAGTTTACTGTATTAAAAAAATGCATGTAAGAAGAAGGTCTTATTTTATATTGAAAATAAACTGTAATTACTAACTTACTAGATATACCTAATTCCATCTAGGAATATTGATTACTGGCAACAATATTCCAATCATGCCTGACAAAGGTAATTATGATAAAATTGTGAATTGCCAGGTCATAGATCAACAATAAATCTTTGTGTTTTTGCAGTTTATAACCATAAGTTGTGACTAATGCAATTGTCAAAATAAGGTATCAAAAGAAATATGTTAATGAATATCACTGAAGTTGAAACTGATAGGATATTTAAAGTGGAACTTTCTGACCAACAATAAAAATTATAAGCTCAAAGGAAGTATTTTCCAAAATGGTCTCACAACACAATTTTGGAAATTTCACAACACTGAAACAGATAGAAAAACTTAATGAAATTACACACATTTTAAAGCTGAAATTAGATACTGTTTTAATAGTAATTTTATAGTTCATGCAATTTGGTTCAGTATTTCTACTGTAAAAAGGGGGAAAATATTGAGTGATACCCCACTGTTCCAGAAAGGGTTTAAATATTTATTTCAGTGAGGGTTAACTGCTTTTAGAGTTGCCACTTTCCTTGCTTTTCAGAAATGTCATTAGTAATCTTCATAAGCTGGCCAATAGTATTTGTGCTTAGGCTGAAATGCAAATCACTTTTTATTCTCTTCATGGTGCTGAAGACTTTCACAGAATGCAGTAGATAAGGGGTAAATATTGCAGAGATCACTACTTTCAGAATGGTTTTAAAGTATATTTTATCAGTGCCATCCTCGTTATACCATACCACCTAGACAGTGTATGGTTGCCAACAAACAGGTGGCCAGATTTTTATACATGTTTTCACCTCTTCACACTGACTCAGGACAGGCTGGATATCACAGCTGCAATTCTACAAAGTTATGCTCAAAGTAGCAGTGAGATGTTGAACTTGTTCTATACCATAAAAATGAAAATTCTGGTCAAGCCAATATGTTTGACCAAGCATGTTTTTGTTGCTGTGAAATTTCTCTAAGTTTGGCCATCTTTAAAACATTTTTCCAATGCCTTATTGATGGCTAAAAGCAATCTGTTTTTGTCATATATTAGATCTGTTTTAGTTTTCACCTTCTTTAATCAGTGTCTCATCAATTGCCCATTTTGACATGTATGCTGGAACTCACTTTCCATTGCACTGAAAAAAAAAACAGTCTGTTTTCTTTCTAGTTTGGTTATAGCACTGTGTATTATGATGTCATATAATTGAAAAATACTTTATTGATTTCCTGAAGTATAAATATGAAAAAAAAATTAAACTCTAAATTTTCTGAGAAGTTTGGGTACTGTAGTCTTGTCTTCTCCACATTTTTTGTTGTCTCAGAAAGTTTTCCATGTGTACAGTTATGCTTGACCAGTTATTCAGAAGTTTGGTAAGAGCAGTTTGTTTTGTTTTTCTGTATTCATTTTGTTTTGTTAGCTGACTTCTAGAGAAGTGATCTTCCATTATTTTAGCTAATCATTCACTTGTCTAAGTCTCGTTGAAGAATTTTCTTGAACAGTAGATGGATGTTAGAATTTCAGTTATTGTACTTGTGTATGACACTTGAAAGATGTACTTCATGGCAAGTTCCAACCAATGGGCCATGCAATGTATTTGAACAAGCCTAGGTGCATATGCTGTAATCAATGTGTCCACATCATATTTCATGCCAAAATTGACACCTGAACCATTTGCTTTAAAGTCTACCTTCTTGGGTTTAAATTCACTAGGCAAAAAAAAAAGCCAAAATCTTGGAAGGTTGTTTTCAGTTTTCCATAATTTCCTCAGATTTGTTGTATGAAATGTGAAGATAAAAGCTTTTTATTATCTAGACATGTACAATGTACTTTCCTATGTCAATTATTGTTATAACTCACTGTGCAGAATACCAGCAGTTTCAGTGATGAACATTCTACATGCTTTATCCTTGCCATGTGTTCTGTCCATTGAAATGCTATGTTTTATGCTATCTACAGTTCTGTTAGTTTTGGGAAGTTAGTAAATGGCTTATCAGTAATGTCTATGTAGCAAACTGTCATGAACACCTCTTCAATTTTTATAAAAAATGTCAGAGTCCATATCTTTAGTTCTTTTCCATGTCTCCTGGCTCATTTCTTTTTCTAGCTTCTTTTGCATAGTGAGCAGTAAATGCACTTATGTGAGTATCAGACTTCATGTGCTATTTTACTTATTTGTTTTTAACATTCTTGGTACCAACAACCTACTGTTTTGTTAGAACTGTAGTGTTGACATAGTTGGTACCAAATAGTCTTGACAGTACCTTTCTTTTCTATCATTTTTCAATATTGCAACCCAATTTTGGAACTGTTTTTGCCTTGGAAGGAAACTTCTATCTCCTTTCTAGAAACTTTTGAGGAATGGAATAATGTCTCTGAAACTGAATGACCTGCAGCAATTTCTGAAGCTGTAAGTAACAGCAGCACTGCTTCATCAGATGTTAATGACATGTTGAAGTTGTTCAACTATTTCTGAAGCTGTAACAGCAGCACTGCTTCATCAGATTAATG